CAGGTGCTCAACAAATGTTCATCCATTGCTAAACAAATAAATGAATAAACATGGTCACATTTTATAGTTATAGGAACAGCCTTAGAAAACCCAAAATTAAAGGTAATTGAGAGTGTGGGTATTCAAATATTCAATACAGTTTTTTAAAAGCACTGTTAGGATTTATTTAAATCTACATTTAGGGATTTAATTATAATTGTTCAAACACTTTATTATACTTAGGTTACTTCCTTTTTGAAACCATTCTTAGCCTTCTTATTAGTCTGATTTTAAGGCTGAAACACTGAAGCCCTTAAGGGAAAGAGAAAGCTCAGACTCAATTACCATAGCAACTCTAAATCTATCACACTATATTTGTATATGGGAGTTTGATTTAAATACATGAATGTATGTGAATTTGCAATGTGTCTAAGCTGTAGTTTCTATAGAAACCATAACTTCGAATTTCCTTTTAAATTTAGTAAGTGCTCACACATGAAAACTGATCCCCCTAGACAGCTATCTGGAGTTGCAGATATAGCTCATAGCAACAAATTTACAAACATCATGATTCACAATGATTTATGTACTTAATAGATATCTAACATTATGCAAATATGTATTTTAATACATGCCCCCTGGATGGTAGATCAAAACCAATTCCAGATGCAACTCCTCAGAATGTAGACCGTAAAACTTGCCAGGCAGTCATCCAATCTTATGTGACAGCCTCTGCTTATGCTAAAGCTCGTTACATCACAGGTAAGTTACCCCACTATACACAGAAATCACACTACCCTACAGCTTCTCTGAATCCATAGAAGAAAAGTTTTTATCTGTACTGAAATAGCAGAAAAATCTAGAATATTTTCACAAAAACAGAATGCACCAAGGATGTGGAGTGTATGTATTTTATATGTAAGCAAACGATCTCCGGCACATGGCTATGTAAGTAGTCTGCATGATGTCAAAGCACATTTTTTTCTTGCTAATGTGGACAGAGTGCTCTTTTAATTATCATCATGGTGATGATAATCCACTTCATGATCACTTTTTCCACTCTAATCTGGTCCTTCTGTCATACAAAATGTTTTGAAGCTGTCACTTACCACCTCTTACCGTGCAATAGACAAGTTAATTTTCATACTAGCCTAAGGAAATATTTGGGGAGAGACAGATTCACTGCAAAATGAATCGAGTATTCCAAAGCCAAAAATGGAAAAGTAACTGAGGAGCAGCTCCTGTTTTTGATTATACCAGCCACTGCTTGTTTCCACGAATACTAATAATTAAGAAATGATCAAGGCTTGGAGGTGCGAACAGAAATTACTACTAAATGTTACCGACCTGGAACCATTGTGAGATAAATGTGATACAGATATGTGAATTTCCCGGGCAGCTGACCCTCACCTCATTAAGCACTTTAATTTGTCCTAAATTTTAGATGGACAAAATCAGGACTGTGTAAGAAAAGAGTGGCCTTGAGTGGCTTCAGACCAGAGGCATGGAGACCAGTTTAGAGACTGTAAACATAGAGTTCATGGGAGAAATGATTCAGAGTCAGTATTATAAACAGAAGTATAACGGAATCCTAAGAATTATAAGGGACCAAAGATAGTATTGATAATTGCATCTGGTGTCATACATACAGTGAGGACTACCAGGAGGCATGGAGCTATTTGATTTTGTAATAAAGATCCCAGGTTACCACTAGGCTAATTAATAAAGTTTTGTTAAATTTTTTGGCTCTTCTTTTACTGATATTTGTACTTTCTATCGATAGCTGTGTATTCCTTGCCCTAATGAGTTCTGTGCTAAGGATCCATATCCCCACGTTTATTATGTCTAAATTAAGAAAGAGCAAATAGGCTCTGAATAAGCATCCTAGAAACTCTCTTGCAAATGAAGAGTAAAGTGTATAAATTTTATGGTATAGATTTTATTATAAAACAGCTATTCTGACTCTTAGAAGACATTTTTGGCTTACATTTTCTTGGCTGTATTCCCAATAACTGAATACATGACCTCTAGAAAAATGAGGTCTTCATGCATTTATAGGAGCCTTCCTCCTATCAAGGCTTTTAATAATAATGCTCTGTATGTGATGTATACCTTGCTATAATTTTTCTCCCAGTATAGTTTTACTATCCCACAATGCCCAAAAGTCAGAACATATTTTATTTAAAAGGGAATGACTGGTTTGACTTCTGAAAATATCCTTTCTCCCTAATGAAGATCAATGAGGCAAACATGGTCAGGGTATCAGGAACATGGTCTCAGGAATTACTGCCTTCTGGAACATTATAAACCAAATTTATTATCTGTTGACTTTAATGTGTTTGCTGAGCTTTGTCACTTGAGAGGTTAAGCTCTGGAAAATATCTATTTCTCTTTCAGGTTCATGGGCAGTCTATCAAAATGGCAAGTTTCTCTGTGGCTTTTGTGAAAGACAGATGAGGGAATTCCTAGCAAACAAGGCCAAGGCAGCATAATGACAGTGCTGTTTGGGGGAAGAGGAATGTTGGTATCGATGTAAAAAAAAAAAAAAAAAAAAAAAACTAAGGACACGCTGACTGCAGAAGAAAAATATTCTGAGGTCTATCCAATTTCACCATTAAAAATTTGAAAAAATGGCAGTTGCGTTTCAAGACCAATCTGTCCATCATTCACAGCTATAAAAAATGACATTAAGATGAGAAATGCCAGACACCCTTGATTTTCTCACCTCCCTGTCCTCCCACTCCACGGGCCCCCAGATCCCAGACTCTGGAGAGGACACACCGTCCCCCTTCTCCACTCCAGATCCTCGACTGATGAAAGTTGCTGACAAAAGGTGAAGGCCAATTTGAACTGCCATAAATATTTGCTTCCCAAACTTCCTGTGGTTTAAATTTCACTCTACCTCTTTCATCACTTCGGCTCCAGAAAAATAAATATTCCCTTTCCTTTCTAGCCCTCTATCTATGCCCTTGATTTCCTCTTTTTTTTCTCTCCAGCTTTAGGATCATGCTCCACCAATTTCCCCTCTTCTTCCTGCTTTCAATTATTCCTTTTCCAAAGACCTTTCTCTCATCTTACAAACCTACTCATTTTGCCTTACCCTAAAAGCAAACAAAAGCAGATCAGTAAGAATACCATCATCTCTTTTCCTTAAACCAACCAAATGGTTTTTTTTCCTTACAAATTTGTTAAAGGTTGAATCTACTCTTCCTACCTCTAATCTACCCTTGTTAAATTGCTGTAATCTAGGCTTACGCACTCAGCATTTTAATGGACCAATTCTCTAAAGGACTATTAATCATCTATTAGGAGTCAGACTTCTTTGGCCTATTTTCAGGCTTTACCCTATATGATATCTCCACGATTAATGTTTGGCACTGTTGTGACCCCTCTTTCTAGAAATTTCCTACTGTTTGTTTTCCAAGGCTGAGTGCCCCTGGTTTTCTTCCTTATGTTCATCTTTTTCTCAGGTTCCTCTTCTTCCTTGCACCCCTTGAATGTTTGTATTTCCAAAGAGCTGTGCTTCGTTATCTTTGTTCTACACAGGCTCACCTATTCTATAGCTCTAAAGTTGGATTTTTATACTATCTCCATATCCTTCCTCCAACTCATTCCTGAACCCACTCCTGCTCCCATCATTCCACTGAAGGGAGGAATCATTCAAGTGGAGAAATCCAATGGATTCTTCCAGACCACATTTTACTTGACTTCTCAGCAGATCTAGACACTGTTGACCGTTCTGCTTCCTTCTGTCTGCTTCCCTGACACATCACTCTCCAGTTTCCTTCAATCCTTCTGGCATCTTCCCTGCTTCCTACACCAGCCCTTCCTCTTCCACTCAACCAGTAAACATCAGAATTCCTCAAGGCACTCTCCCCTTATCACTCAGTATTCACTTCCAGCTTCCATAAATGGACATACGGAAAACTCACAAACACTTCCCTCAGGCCCACACTCCTTTGAGCACCAGACACACGTGGGCACCCTGCCACAAACACACACAAACTGCCTATTTAGATATATTCTTAGACGTTGCAAAGGAATCTCAAACTCAGTATGTTCAAAACTAACTTATGATTTTTTCCCAAATCTGGTTTTCTTTCAGCACTTCCTGAACAATACCCCCCAATCCTTGCAGGGGCTTGAGACAAACCAAGAAGTCATGTCTGACATCTCCCTTTTACCCCAGTATTGATCTATCACCCATATTGGGCATGAAGAACAAATTTGTATTATTTACAAAAGTAAGGTTACTGAATGAACAAGTACAAACACTGGGTTCCACATTTGGGACAGAAGTATGGTTTCTGAGGATTTCATTGTTTAATTGTCTAGTACTTGACTCGTGTTTATAATAATGACCCAATTTTATAAGGACACGTTCTGCCTGGTAAAGTCTGGTTTTTATGGCAGGGAGGTTTATAATATATTTTAGAAAGATTTTTAACCACAAAAGCTTAACAAGTTTTAAAGTTCCAGATATTTACCCTCAATGACTTCACTTTTAGACAAAGCTAGGTAAAGGGGCTATTGCTGAATGTTATTAAAGAAAAATTGGCATTGCCTATACAGGAGATAGGATGTATATAGTTCATGAATTTCCTTTGAGGACTATGGATGGTAAACCATATTTAAAAGCATCATTTAATTCATATTCTGATCTGTACTGCCAGCAATTAGCAATGACAATATTTCAGTCAAAATCTAAACAGACTATTTGAAATTTCTCAGAAAAACTAGGAGAAGGAAACCTATCCCTGGAGTATTATTTTAACATCCAGCTTCAGTGATATAATGCAAATATCTCTGCCTTTTTAATAGTTTAAATCAGGATTGTTAGATTAATGACCAATGGGTCACAGGAAGATAAATGTGGTCAGACAGAAACAATAAAAACCATCCAAAGGCATTAAAAACATCGACTGCTGGGAAGAATCAATCACAAACACACAGCAAAGCACAGGAGGGTCTGAGCTATCTTCTAAATTGAAAGTGACTTGGTGATTTCATTGTGACAATACCTGCTGTGGGGGAGTTTGCATGGTGAGACTTTTTCGGCAGGTTGAAGATCTGTTCACCAGGGTCTGGGGGAGGAATTGCATCTTGCCCTTGTCGTGCCTCCACGGGATCATACTCCTTCCCGTCATAGTTAGCATCATAGAATTTCTTAAACCACTGAATAAAATCCAGGTTGTCTTGGAAACGTCCTTTCACTAGCTTCTCCACTGGAATTACCTGGAATATAAAATCGCAATGTGAGTTATGAACCTCACATTCATTTTGTATTTAACACAACTGAAATATTCCCTAAATATAACTATTTCTTGGAATATTTAATAGTTCTTTTGGAATATTAATAGTTAATATTTAATATTATTTAATAGTTCTCTTGGAATATTTAATACTGCTGAATAAACCAAACGAAAGAAGGAATACCCTTAGCTGCCACGACGGGCTGATCTCCCTCATGGTATATTTATTGCCAAAGCATCTCACCACAAAAACAGAGGCTTGGGATGTTGTGCCGTTTCAAGACTGATGAGCTTTCCTTATTTCTTTGTAACACTTGGCCCAGTTGTGTTGGGATAAACTCTTATAAAGATTATAGCTATTAGAGAGTGCAGAGACTGAAATCAATGAAAACAGACACTAATCTAATGATTCATATGAAAAAAAAATGACCTTTCCTGGAGCTTATTTATTATGTATAGAGACAAATATGAAAACAATTAACCACGATATAGGGCCCAGTAATTCATGCGCTACCCAGGAGCAAACAGCTCCGGTGCCAGGGAGTACAGAGGAAAAGCAAGGGAGGCTGATTAAGGGGGCCATCGAAAGCGCTGGAGGTGGGGGGACACAGCACTCACATCACCTTCCAAGACAGGAATCTCAGCCTCTGCAACCTAAAGAGTCAACCAGTATTCCCTAGAGAGGTCTTACAGGAATCTTCAGAATTATGACAAGGAAAAAATATGGTTCGACTGCTTAACTTAATTCGGTAGGCCACTATTTTTTGAAGGACAATGGAAAGGTATCTAAGCTATCCAAATTATACCACTACTGGATTCTGACTTCGTATGTCTTTGGGTGGGAACGCTAGTTGAATGTGAACCACAAGAGTTACAAAGTAAGGGTGTGAGTCAGACTGTGTGTGTCTGTGTGAGCATGTGATTCAACAAGCTCATGGCTCTGCTGTCTGACAAGATGAATGGAAGCTGCGTAAATTAAACTTTCGGCAAGGCTGTGCCACTTTAGGAGCTGTATGTCATTGATATCTTAAAATGTGTCAATAGGACCACTTTAAAAAATGTGGAAAGATATTACATATCAATGACAACTTGGAAGGAAAAAACCAGCTGAAGCATATCAGGCCATCCCTTAAACTAAATCATTAGCAATATATTTTTTTTCAAAAATGTTTTTTGTGTAGCTAAAATAGAAACTAAACCAAGTACAAAATAAAATAAAGGGAAGCAAACTTTTGGAGGAGACCACGTTTTCCATGAAGACTCTTCTGGTAACAGAGATTTTGGTGTTCATATTTCCCTGCTCTCACTTTCCCCAGCTCCAGTGAAGTCTGCTCACAAGGAAGAATTCCTGCCATATGTGCACTTAACTGACTTTTCATTGTACTCTTTGTTGACTTTTATGTCTTCTCAGTTTTAAATTTTTGTTTATGTTGATATAGATCAATTATTTGAAAGTGACTTCTTAGAACACAGGGCCCTTTAATTAATATACTACTATATTTTGTCTATTGCTAGACGCTAGATGTGAAAATTTATAAATAGTTTTAGATGACTATGGTACATTAGCTGTTAAAAGATGGCACTTTGCTTCTGTTGACTTAATTTTACATTCCCTGTCAAAATGAAAATTTTGGGGGCATAAGTTCAAAATCTGAGGTAGCAAGCAAAGCTCTGTACAGAAGCTTCCATCACACTGCTGGGCTATGACAAACAAGAACAAGAGTACTTAACACTGTCTCTCAGGACCTTTGGATCGAATGATAGCAGACTAAAGCTAGAGAGGCTAAAAAGGCCATGAAGGCCAGTCTCCTTCCACTGCAAGAATTTTTTCTCCAACATTCTTAACAAATGCTCATCCATGCTGTGTGTGTGTACTTCTAGAGAGATATGGAGCCCACCAATTTGAGTTATAGCAAGTTCTATCAATAAACCTATGAACAGGTATTTCTTTTCTTTTTAATCTAGAAGTATGTACAGAGAAATGAATGAAAAAAGACACAAGTGGTACTGCTAATTTATAAAAGTAAGGAGAGCCTCCTATACAGCTTTTGTTTTCAACATACATGGAAGAGATCACTGAAAATTAAGCATAGCAAAACACACAGAGTTAGAAAGAATCCGAAGGGTTAAGATGGTAAAGAAAATGTGTTTTGAAATAAAAATTCTGAGAAAATGAAAAGCCAATATTTTCATCATTATCTTGATATTAATGCTTTTATTTAGGAAGATATTAATTGCATCAACTTAAAACATCTATAGTTTACCAAACTTTTCTTTCTTTTAACTTCTACCTCTTATAACCCAGCATTTTATTTTTTTATTTCCATAGCCTATTTATTACTACTATTTATGCAAAGAAAAGTTTTCCATTTCTCTCCTGCTGGTTTATCTCTTTTCTCTTATTCAAAATTCATTTCTTTCCAAGCTTATTCATGCTAAGAAACATATCCTAAATAAGGAATACAGATTAAATAGGTATTTGAATAGCAGTAAACATGCAGAGAGAGACTTAGTGGGTTTTAGCAATAGTCCCTTATTGAAAGGAAAAGAAATTCAGGCCTAAGTCCATTTGCATCGCTCTAGGACAAAGTTATCACAATTCAAAGGAAGAAAGAAAAAAAAGCAATTATGGACACTGAGAATCTGAGGGCACACACTCTGCTGGATATTTTCTCTCATTTCAACTTCATCACTATGAGTAAGGGGTTTTTAGTCCCACTTTATGATAGGTAAACTCAGTCTCAAAAAATGTGAATAACTTGCTCAAGTCATGAAAGCTAGGATTCAAACCCATGTTATCTATATCCACCGTAACATGGTGTTTCTCCAAAGGAAAACAAACAAACAAACAAAAAAATAAAGAACCACAATGGCAACTGGTAAACATAAATGTTTCTCATCTGCAATGCTAATATATAACTAATAACAACATTTTAACATTTGTGATGCCTGTTAGAGTTTTTCATCTAATGGCTACAAGTTTAGAAAATTTCCTGAAATAAAAACTTCGTACAAATATGGGAAGTTAGGGTTGATGCTTTATGCTGTGTACAGACTCCAACCTACTGTTGAGCTATTGAGATATATCCCATTGATATATTCCTACATTTTTGCATTTCTACACAAAAACAATTTTAAGGAAAGACAACGTATTTTTTGGAGGCACAAGTGAGTCTCCTACCTTATCGACGTTCATTCGCTTAAATGATGCTTGCAAAAGTTTAAAATTGTGGATATACTCGTGCTCCAACTTTGCTTGAAATTTTACTTTCTTCAAACTAATGCAGCCTGGAAAGAGCATGTCCATGAACTGGCAATAGGCCGCCCCTGGAAAGAGACAAGAAAAGTACTGGCGTGAGTTTGACTGTACCCAGATTATGACGGAGGATTGCTAGGCAGGAAGGGCATCGTGCTTACAGGCGCCATCATCACTCACAGCAGAGCCCTCCTGGCCATGTGTGTCCCTCTCATCATTGCACTTACACCTCCTTGTCCACAGGGGTTTGGTGCCAGAGGGAAGGGACTGCGCTTCAACAACGCAGCACTTGCCAATTTCCTACTCCTAACCACTGCGTATTACGCTGCCTGCACCAGAGCATCATCCGGTTCCACGACCAGTGAACAGAACCTCATACTATAATGCCAAGGAAACCAGGGTAAGAATAACTCTTCCTAACTTCTGCCAGAGAAAAGGAACATATTTTTTCTTCTGTCTAGCTACTACCTGCTTTAAGTCACCAAAATAAATAAATTTAAGAGGACAATGCAGAAAATGTAAAACGAGAGAACTACAAAAGTTCTCATGAAACACGTAGCTCAAAAAATACACGTTTGCCTTAGCTGTTTTATACTCATCTTGAAAAATCACTTGGGTGAAAACTGTATAACAAAGCCATCTAATACCCCAAACAGCTGTAGACCAACTTAATTCCAGTCCAGAGCAATGGAGTGCCCATGAAGTATGAAGGCATGGACACTCTGAAACTTACAGAAATTCAGAGTCATGATATTAATATTTGTGATGAGAAATAAACATGACAGAAATGCTGAATGAGTCCCCTGACAAAATGATCATAGGAAAAGGGGATTTTTTTTTTTTTTTAAATATGAAGAACTCTTAAAACATTGCCAGCTCAACTAGAAAATCCTGGTAAGACCATGTTTACTGATGCATATATTCTTAAAGGCTAATGGCATTGAGGAAAAGAAGTTCAAAGCCAGAATGATTTTTTTTCTTTTACAAGAAAGAAAAGCAGTTGAGTGGCAAGAATGGGAACAAGCAGCCATTTTTATGCTCTTTCTTTCTTTCTTTCTTTGCTGTCTCTAGATCTCTTGTCTGTTCCTATGATGTGCCGATGATCAGTCTTTCTGGAACACGAAGGGCCTCCCTTCATCCCTTACCATCAAGGCTTCTGTGAGGAGCCTGCCCATGACTCACTTTTAGATAGGAAGGACTCACTCAGTCTCTTATGTCAAATAGATGTTGAGGACCCTTTACTGCGATAGGAACCCAAGATAGGAGAGAAGACAACACCAGGAATCTAAGGGGTGCTAGAACGGGAAATGTTGGGGCAACTCATATTTTGTAGGTAAGAGCATAGAGTGATGCAGTATAGGCCATAATACACTAAATATCTCCAGAGTCTCTGCATCTGGCTTCTCCTTAGACACCAATTCCCTGAATACTAACCGGTGAGTTCCCAGTCAAGCGGATGGGTTCTTGTAAAAACAAGACAAAATAAAACAAATCAAAACGAAAAATCTTGGGGAAGGTACGAGAAACATCATGATCTGGGGGTCATTCTTAGAGTCATCATCCAATACTCAGCTGTTCCTTCAGAAGGGCCACCAGATGGAGCAAATTCCAATTGCCCTGTTACCATCGTTGTCATACAGATGGGAGTGTTTAAACACAACTGCCTCATTACCTGCTCTTTAAAGTCTTTTTCACTTTTGTAGAGTTTAGCATAAAATTCACCTATGGAGACCAAACCAACCAACCAAATCATTCACATGTCAAATTTAAGAAGAAATAACAGCTTTTTTTTTTTTTTTTTTTTTTAAGACAGAGTCTCACTGCGTTGCCCTGGCTAGAGTGCCGTGGCGTCATCCTAGCTCACAGCAACGTTTTTTTTTTTTTTTTTTTTAAATCTTCGACATAGGGAGGGAAGGAAGGAAAAATCACCTCTAGTGTCATCATCCAGAGACAACCACTGGCAATGTTCTGCAGTGTTCTGGTATATGCCATTCTAATCCTTTTTTGGGGGCAGGAGGTTTGTATATAAGAATATATATATATTACATATTTTTTCCTTCAAAAATGTGATCCTGTAATATTTTTAAAATGTAATCATGTTATTACATATGTAATATGCAATATTTTATATGTAAAATTTATATATTTTATAAATATGCAAAATATACATATTTTATATGTAAAATATTTTATATGTAATATTTTATATGTAAAAAAATTTTTTTAACCTACTTTGTCTTTGGGGAAGAAGTAAAAAAAAAAAAAAGAAAAAAAATTTTAACTTAACAGACCATCGATTCCCTTTCTGACTTACTTAATATTCTCTACCTATATTTTTAATAGCTTTCTGATTTTTATATGTTTATCAACTTTCCCAAATCCAGATTACATAAATATTCATGCATATTTTCATCAAGTACTTTTACAGTCTCAAGTTTTACATTTCAATTCTGAATCCATGTGGAATTTATTTTGGTTTATGATATAAAGTATGGTTTTAATTTTAGTCATTCTGAATGTTAGTGGAAATCTGTCATTTTTGGTTCCCCAGCAACTGGACACCTTCCTACCTGGGGAGATGCTGCAGTGCTTTGCCTCCCATCACAGCAGCTAAAGACAAGCAGGCATCCTTTCCTGCCCCCAGCAATAGGGATGCAGGCCCATGACCCAGGCTCTGTGTTTAAATTCTGCCTGGATGTCCGAGTGGAGGGAGTGACAGAAGTACACAGGGACCATTAGAGTTTAGTCAATGGCAATGGTGGGGTCTAGCATTATGAACAGCAACCACAGCACAGTGGCAGCCTGACCATCCCATTCCTGGGGCACAAGGGAGGCTGTGTTCCCAGATCCTTAGTATCCTTTGATTCCATCATCTTCTGAACTGGGCTTTCCGTGGACTCTGAGCTACCCAATATTTTTCCTGGAAATTCCTCTTCTGCTTAAGCTTGCTAGGATTAATTTCTGCTATTTTTTCAACCCAAATTACCAATGGATAAAGTTACCTAGGTGTTGAATACCACCATTTAGTAGATAATCTATACTTTCCCCACTGATGAGAAGCACTATCTTTATTATACATTACCTTCCTAATGCATGTACTTAGGTCACTTTCTAGACTTCACATTGTTTTTTTTAATGTCTGTCTCCATGACCATTCCACACAGTTATTTGAAATTCTATAATATGTAATACTATCTGTAGAATAATTTTCCTTCTTCTCTTTCTCAAAAATTTCCTGAATTTTACCATGCATTTATTCTTTCCATTATATTGTTGAATTTGCAATTCATGGCATATAGAAAATAGCTTTTGAAGTAAATAAGTCACTTATTTACTACTTATTTTGTTTTTAATTGATACTTAATAATTATACGTATTTATGGGGTACAGTGTGACTTTTTGATATATGTATACCTTGTATAATGATCAAATCAGGGTATTTAACGTATCACCTCATACATTTATTATTTCTTTGTAGTGAGAACATTGAAAATCCTCCCCTCTAGCTATTTTGAAATACACGATACAATATTGTTAACCATAGTCACCTTACCATGCAGTAGAAGACTATCCCACTGTAATTTTGTACCCATTGACCAATCTCTCCCCTTCCCGCCCTCCGCCTTACCCTGCCCAGTCTCTGGTAACTACTATTATACTCTACTACTATGAGATCAACTTTTTTAGATTCCACATATGAGTGAGATCATGTGGTATTTGTCTTTCTGTGCCTGGCTTATTTCACTTAACATAAAATCTGCCAGGTTCATTCATGTTGCAGTAAATGACAGGATTTCACTCTTTTTTTTATGGCCAAAGAGTATTCCATTGTGTAGATATACCACATTTTCTTTATCTGTTCATCCACTGATAGACACTTAGGTTGACTGCATATCTTGGTTATTGTGACTAGTGCTGCGATAAACATGGGGGTGTAGATGTCTCTTGAACATACTGATTTCATTTTCTTTGGATAGATATCCAGTAGTGGGATTATATGGATAATGTAATAGTTCAACTTTTGATTTTTTGAGAAACCTCCATATAATTTTCCATAATGGCTATACTAATTTACATTCCCACCAATAACATATAAGAGTTCTCCTTTCTCCACATCCATGCCAACATTTGTTACTTTTTTGTCTTTTTGGTAATAGCCATTTTAATTGGGGTGAAGTGATATCTTATTGCAGTTTTTATTTGCATTTCCCTGACGATTAGTGATGTTGACCATTTTTTCATATACCTGTGGCCATTTGTATGCCTTCTTTTGAGAAATGTCTATCTAACCAAATCTTCTGCCCATTTTTTAATCAGATTCATTTATTTATTTATTTTTGGAATTGAGTTGTTTGGGTTCTTTATATATTCTGGATAGTAACCCTTTGTCAGATGCATAGTTTACAGATATTTTCTCCCATTCTGTAGGTTATCTCTTCATTCTGTTGTTTCCTTTGCTGTGCAGAAGTTTTTTAGTTTGATGTAATCCCATTTGTCTATTTATGCTTTTGTTGCCTGTGCTTTTGGGGTCTTATCCAAAAAATCCTTGCCCAGATCAATGTCATGAAGCACTTCCCCTACATTTTCTTCTAGTAGTTCTATCATTTCAGGTCTTACATTTAAGACTTTAATCCACTTTGAGTTGATTTTTATATATAGTGAGAGATAAGGATCTAGTTTCATTGTTCTGCATGTGGATATCCAATTTTTCTAGCACCATTTATTGAAGAGACTGGGTCCTTTCCTTAGTGTTCTTGGTGTCTTTGTTGAAAATCAGTTGGCTGTAAGTGTGCAGATTTATTTCGATGTTCTCTATTTTGTCCCATTTGTCTATGTATCTGTTTTCATACTAGTACCATGCTGTTTTGGTTACTATAGCTTTGTGGTATATTTTGAAGTCAGGTAGTGTGATGCCTCCAGCTTTGTTTTTTTGCTCAAAATTGGTTTGGCTCTTCAGGGTCTTTTGTGGTTTCATACAAGTTTTGAGATTATTTTTTCTATTTCTGTAAAGAATGTCATTGGTATTTTGCTAGGGATTACACTGAACCTACAGATCACTTTGGGTAGTACA